TTTATTTAAAACCCATTGTCCATACATCTATGACCATATTTCTGGATTCTTCATTTTTATTTTGTTGACCTACCTGCCTATCTTGATGCCAAAATCATACTCTCTTGATTACTATAGCTGTGAAATGTCTTGGAATCAGGTAGCATTAGTCCTTACCCGTTGTTCTTTTTCAAGTTGTTTTCTGTGTTTTAGGTCCTTGTATTTTCACATGAATTTTAGAATTGGCTTTCCAACTTCTGTTTAAAAAGTCTTATGGGATTTAGTTTTGGAATACATGAAATCTGTAGTTGAATTTGGGGAAATTGTCATCTTAAAAATAATACATCTCCTAATCTTTGGATACAATATATTGTGGTTTTCAGGGTTTGTGTCTTGTACATCTTTTGTCAGCTTTATTCCCAAGTATTTTATATATACATATATATATATATATATATATATATATGTGTGTGTGTGTGTGTGTGTGTGTGTGTTGTGTGTGTGTGTATTTGAAGTATAATTAATAATAAAAGGATAGTACATATTTAAACTGTCCAATATGATTTTGGCATATGTGAAACTATCACCATAATCAAGTTAATGATCATATCCAACACCCCCAAAAGTGCTCTGAGAATCTTTGGAATTCCTGCATCCCAATTTTCCTCCCTTCCACAATCACTGATTTGCTTTCCATCTCTATAGATCAGTTTGTTTCTCTTTCAAATTTTACATGAGATTTTTTTACATAAAAATTTTTATGTGTGTGTGTGTATATATATATATATATATATTTTTTTTTTCTTTTCTTTTTTTTTTGTGGGGCTGGGGATGTACCAGAGATTGAACTCAGAGGCACTCAACCACTGAGCCATATCTCAGCCCTATTTTGTATTTTATTTAGAGACAGGATCTCCCTGAGTTGCTTAGCATCTTATCCTTGCTGAGACAGGCTTTGAACTTATGATTTTCCTGTCTCAGCCTCTCAAGCCACTGGAATTACAGGTATGTACCACTGTGCCCAGCAGTATTTTATGTTTTTGATGCTATTATGAATATTATGTCTATTTAAATATTTTGAAGGTTTATTCCTACTATGTAGTAATACATTTATTTGAGGCTTGTGTATTTTATATCTAGAAACCTTGTTAAACTAAAATATTACTTTTGGCTGCTATTTTAAAGATTCTATTCCATAAAATTTCCTATGTGGAAAATCATGTCATCTGTGTATAAAGACAGATTACTATTTCTGCTTGAAACTGAATACCTTTAATTTTGTTTTCTCGTCTTATTACACAGGCTAGAATTTCTAGGACAATAGTAAATAAATATTGAATAAAAATTATAAGAGCAGATATTTTTTCTTCATGCCTGATATTAGCAAGAAATCATTTAGCCTTTTTTATTAATTGATATAGGGTTCTCCAGAGAAATGGAACCAACAATGAGTGTGTGTGAGTGTGTGTGTATTGTATACATATTATATTTCCCCTATCTCTCTACACACATACACACATACACATATATAGATAGTCCATGTGTATACTGTGCAAGAAGGAATTATATCTCTGATCTATTTTGAGAGATGCTGAGATTATTTTAAGAAATTGGCTTGCATGATTATGGAGACTGGCAAATCCAAAATCTGCTAGTGAGTCAGCACACTGAAGACCCAGGAATGAGCCCATGTTGCAGTTCAAGTTGGAAAGCTGTCTGCTAGGAGAATTCCTTTTTGCATGGGAAGTTTAGACTTATACAATGTTGTCTCTTTACCTTACATCCCACCCTGAATACAGACTTGAATCATAGCACTCTGGCAGCTATTTTGTAAGCACCTAGGAAGGACCCAGGCATCACACAGATACTAGTCATAGTTTTATGGAGTTTCTGAACAAATATTAGCAGCCACCTTTCTTCAGGTTTCTTGAAATATGAGAAAAATATCAAGAAACTATTAAAGCCATTATTAATTGGATGACAAAAGCATTTCTAATTGGCTCAAGAGGAGAGGGGGGAATTGGAGAGTTGAGATATGTTTTTGTCAGTTCATTGTTTGAAGAAGGCTATCTAAAGCAAAAATTGAAAAAGTCAGGTTTAAACATTATTTAAAATTGAGAGCAGTATCTCTTGATTAGTGCTCAATAACTACTTTTCAAATGAAAGTAGATGAATAGATGAATCATGAAACTTTTGCAGATATATATTGGTCAGTAACAATCCTGCTACAATTTTGGATACACTACTATTTCACAGTTTTGATCCGAGACTATCAGTGGTTGTGTTTATCACATCACTTACCTCATTTCTACATAACTACACAAACCAGGAGAATTTTAGGGTTTTATTACTCCCTTTTTAGGATAATAAGTAAACTTAGCTATAAAGCTGTTCCTTACACTTAAAACTTGAGGAAATACTCATAAAACAGTTTCAATCCCTCAAATACTCCTCCTAATCTTGTAGGAGTATTTGTTATGAAAGAGTATCTTTGAAAGCAATCACAATCATTTTGGGGTATCCCTGACCAAGCCATCCCTGGCATAGCTTCCAAATTCTTGATGCTTGGAATGTTCTAACATTTCAGTTGAGTAGATTTTTGTTTTTTTCTTGGTGGTGCTGGGAATTGAACCTAGGGCTTTGTCTCCTCTAGGCAAGAACTCTATCAACTATCACATCTCCAACTCTGAATAGACAGTTTCAAAAGACAATTTCTTTTTTCCATATTTTACAACATTGGCCATAATAAATCATATATATTAGTGGTCAGAAAATGGCATATGTAGTTTAAAATGATTGCCTGACTTTAATTTTGTGGGGATGACAAGTGCTACTGTCTAAGTAATAGAAATGTCTTCCCCTTTCTTTGTCATTGTGCTCACACCAAAACAAAAATTTTCCTGATATGTTGATTAATTCCCTCAGGAATTTCACAATCCTATGGAATGTTTATTTCTACTCTTAATAATAGTTATAAATAACAATCAAATATTAGAGAAGGCAAAACTTGAAATGGCCAAAAAGTACTTTTGGTTCATGAGTTTGCACACTTTGTCCTTGGCTTCTCTCAAAGTGTGAGATTATAAGAGAAATTAGATGTGATAAGACTGAAGGGGAGAAAAAGGTCTTGGTTACTGGCAGAAATATGACCAGAGGGAGCCATAAATGTAATAAAAAAGGCTTTCTTGACTACAGAAAAGAATTCCAGACTTTATGCCCAGACGGGCAATTCTCTGGGTGGGCTTATTTTTTGAGTCATTCAGACCCAATTATTACAGTAAAATTAATACATTCTTGGGTTAAAAATGTCTCACTTGATCTAGTTAGCTGCTTTCTTTCTCACTCATTTTCATTAGTTTGGTTTATCTGTATCTGTTTACTCTTAGATCAGTGGCAGCTGTCACTAACTTTGATAGAGTCTCACTTTAGAAATACAGATTGCATTTATTCAGAATTTTATAGTCTCTCCCCTTTTAAAACAGTCTAGAAGTGGTTTATTTATTAGGATACATATGCAATATATTTGTGGGTATCTGCTCTCTACATTTTTGGTGAAAGTCTCCTGTTACTTCAACAAGTCATTGAGCATCTACTATGCTCAATCTATCTTGGAGTTTATAAAGCCAAATGAAATGTGGTCCTTGGTGACTGAATTGTGGTAATTACCTCATCTAGATGCACTTCCTCCTAATCATGGGAATAACAATGATAAATGCACATCAGAATTACTAGCGTGACCCTGTTAAAAATATACTTGCTCCTGCTTAGGGAGATTCTGGTATATATGCAGGGACCAACGTGTGTGTAGTTTTAACAAAAAGCTCCCCTAAGTGAGTCTAATAAACAAGGGTTAAGAAACACCACCTTACCCTATGAAAGAACTAAATGCAGGAATTCTGCCACAAGCAAATCAGGCGGATGCCCTTGAATTCTACTACACGGGTACCTAGTAAGGATGTTTCTATTTCCAAGGGTTCATAATGGGTAATAATCATCTGATCTTTACTATTGGACAGGCTTGGGCCCAGACTTTTCTGTAAAATATCTGGCACAAGCTTGCTTTGGAGGAATAAGAGTTGTCTCCCAAGATACTGTCATTCTATTCATCTCATAGAAAATATGGTTATTTGTATAAAATTTCTTCTTTACTAGACTGGGAGGCATTGCAGACTATGGGCAACACTCTCCCCCACCTCCCATGGAAAAGAGTAACTCATACATAAGAGCATAATAGGTGTTTGACAGGTGAGTTTTATTATTACTACTACTGAGCTACATCCCCAGCCACTTTAATATATTTATTTTATTTTTTAGACAGGGTATCTTTAAGTTGTCGAGACTGGTGATTTTTCTGTCTCAGCCTACTGAGTCGCTGGGATTACAGGAGTGCGCCACAGCACCCAGCTATGAGTGCTTGCTTTTTAGTAGAACTGAATCTTTCTTACTCAATTCCTAGGATCTAACTACATATATCATAAATGATATATTTCTGTATAAAACATTTCAGTCACATTAAATAACATATAACGGCATATATGAAGAAAAAAAGAAGACAAAGGCACCCATGGTCCCACTCCCAGTTTATTAAATAACGTAGGCAATACTTTAGAAGTCCCTTCTTCAACTAGATGCTTTCCAATAGTAAAGATCTTCTGAATTTAAATCAGAATGCCTGCATTCACCCATTGACTGGGTTCATTCATCTACTTGTCAAACGTGCCTAAGGGTCAGATACGAGGTGCCAGAGGTATTAATTTCTACTGTTGGGGTGTGGGAGATCAAGAGTGACATAAACCACCTCCAGAGGCGTCTAGCTTGCTTTTGCTGCGAACAGTCCCAACCCAGCGCGGCCCTTCAGAGCGGGCGTGGTTTCTGCGTCCGGACAGTTAGGGCAGAAACTACTCGTCCCGGCAGTCTGCGGGGCCGGTGGGCGGAGCTGGGCCGGGGGCGGGGGCCGGCGAGAGGGGGCATTGTGTCGGCGAGAGCGGAGCCGCATTTGTCTGCCTGAGGTGTTCCTTGAACGTGCTTTGGGGTGGCCGGCTGGGGTCTGGAAGTGTCAGCTGCGGCCGCGGCCCCGGCGGGAGATCGAGTAGGAGGGAGCACGCGCCCGCTGACYGCGATCGCTGGCAGGGGGCGGTGTGCTAGCGGAGCAACATGCACATAGGCGCCCGGCGCCCTGACGACCCCTCCTGTGGAAAAGAGGCCGGGGCCGCGCTGGGGCGGCGGAGAGCATGAGGGAGGCCGGGGGGCGGCTGGGCTGGGAGCGCTGCTAGGAGAGGCGTGCGCTGCACAGTCGCCGGGGCGCGGCGGAGGGCGGGGAGCAGGGCAGGTCCGCCAGCGGGCGAGAGTCGACMGCCGGGAGCTGTTGTGATTTCCGACACGGGAGCGAGGGGCCCGGAGCAACCCCTGACTCCAGCGCGCAGCCGACATGGGCAACGCAGGGAGCATGGATTCTCAGCAGACCGATTTCAGAGCGCACAACGTGCCTTTGAAGCTGCCGATGCCCGAGCCAGGTGAACTGGAGGAGCGATTTGCCATCGTGCTGGTGAGTGCGCGTCGGCTGCGGGGCGCGGGGACCCGGGCCCCCGGCCAGGCGGCGCAGCTGACCTCCGCCCCCTCCCCTTCGCTCCGCGCGGGGAGCAAGCCTCCTGTCCCAAGGGGGAGGCTTTTCACCTACTCCATTGTGGTTTCCCCGCCTTGCTTCTTGCCTCCCTCCCTCTCTCTCGAGTACCTCACGTTCAGACCTCTTGTGGTGCCGGGATGGGGATAGGGGCTCKGAGCGGGCTGCCGGGCCAGCCCCGAACCCATTGTCTGGCGGGAGAGGCACCTCGCAACGCGTGTGTCGGGGTGGTACTGCGAGTGTGGGGAGGGAAGGTGGCGCGGGCCCGGGAGGAGGGGGCGATGAGCCGCTAAGGCTTTTTGTTTTAAAAACAAAAACCCCGTAAACCTTGATCCCCATGCGAACTATACTTCGGGCGCCCAACCCTGGGCCTGTGGGGTCCCTGGCAGATGGTCGCAGGTGGCTGGCCGCAGGCGCTGAGTCGGGCRGTAAGCGAAGGCGAACTTGGAGGGCGGACGTTGTGGTTTGGCAGAGCTGTAGCTCCCCCGAAAGGGAAAGAGGAGGAGACCTGCAGAAGTGGGATGCCCCGGTCCCTAAGCGGGGAGGCGGCATCTGAAGCCCAGGCGGGGGAGAATCTCAGTGTGTTCTCTTTAGTCTTAAATCACATAAAAAATGTGCAATTTTGCAGCGGCATTTTGAGAGCTCTTCTGACTACACGGGCGACCCCCGCCCCTCTTCTCCCAGCTTCTCATATCCAAGACTCTGAAAATTCCCTTCTTTCTCTCTTTTCTACTGGGACTAAGTTTCTGGGCCCTTCCCAGTCAGAGACTATCCTGCTGTGAGTTCTAGCGGGAGTGGTGACTTTTCCCTTGCTCAGTCAGGGTCTGAGATGTAGTTGGTCCCCAGACCAACAGTTTTAGTGCTCAGCCTCTTTTTAAGGGATGTTGGGAAGGAAACGAGCAAGACGGGACGCATTCCTATTCCTCACACTTGTACACTTCCCTTTTCCTAACTGGTTATCCCCAAACCTGACAACATTAGGCAGCAAGAGGAACTTGTAATTAGGGCAGTCAACGTCTGTGACTATCTGCAGGTTTTGAGGCATGTAGCCTAACAATTTTGGGGAGTGACTGGAGTCCCAGATCAAAAACCAGTTTTCAAATGTTTTGAACGGTGGCTGGGACATTTAAATTCCATTTCTTCAGGACTTGAAAAGGTTCTTGTTTGGCATGGGGATGGCAGGTTAGCTTTGTGCTTGCTGGGATAGCAGAGGCTATGAGCTTTTTCAGGCCACCTGGAAACTGGTGTTTCAGTGGAGGAGCTWGATGATGTTGCCTGTCTTACTTTGCAACGTCTGTGATCTCCCACAGCTGCTTCCACGTTGTGCAAGATGGGACACTCTGAAACGAAACAGCCTAGGCTTAATTACTTCTCAAGGCAGCCTGGGTACATACTTGACCCGTCTTTCCAGAGACAAACGTTTTTCTTCAAACCGTTCCTACAAGACGTGATTTTAACTCCTTGCTTTTTCCCTCCATACTGTGGTGCTGTGTATGAGTACGTGGAGCGGAGGAGCCARTGACACAGGGAAACCAGTGCAGCAGCCATCATAACAATAATGCAATTAAGTTCTGCTCAACTGGAATAGCATTTTTTTGCATGAGTTTTCAGTTACTCTGTTGATTAATAACACATGGTATGAATTAATCTTTAGAAAAATGATGTCCCTTCATTAACATGGTGGATTTGTTTTCCTGTTAAGTCTAGCAGTCACAAAGTTAATATGTAGACTTTTATGACTGTAYGTCACAAGCTCCATGGGGCCATTGTTGATTATTGTGGTTGCTTTTATTCTGCTATGTCTCTCACAGTTACTGGATGCAGTTCTTTTTAAAGTTGTTTACAATATTTTGAGCCTCTCAAACAAAAAACAAAATCCAAAAATACCAGGCTGAACTTTTTTGAACACAAACAAAACTTTCTCAGCTTGAGGACCCTGTTAGGGACACATTTGTACTCTTCCAACTGAGTTCTACTTCCTCTTGGGAAAATCTACAAGCAGAGTCAAAGAAAACCCTCCCAAATTATCTAGTGCCATGTGTAGATGGTATTTCTTGTCTTTTTTTCCCCCCTGAAATTGTATATACTGTGTTCTTTGCTTTTCTCTTTTGAATTGCTTGAAAAATCAATTGAAAGCATTTGAGTCTGGAGATCAAGATTGAATGAGAAGTTTTAGATGGCAGATTGTAAAGCATATAATATGTGGAGGAATTCTCTATCCTTAGACAACAGGAGTTATGTTGGTGTTAATGACATCAGTTTTATTTCTTATACAGATCATGTATGGGTTGTGGGAGGGAAACTAGAGGTAATACTGTATAGAAAAGTGTACAAGCACCTCTTTGTTAGTTTGATTTACTTCAGTATTAACGAGCCCTTTCTGGTTAGGGAAATAGTTCTTCCCAACCTCCAGCTCTATAGTATTTAAACCCTTGGGGAAAAGTAAATAAAACTTAAAATGACAGTGCTTTTTTTTTTTTTTAAAGTTAAATTATTTTGACAGTGGTTCATCTTATTTCTTTGCAGGAACTCTCTTAAGAGTCCAAACTTACTCAATGACTGTAACCCCTCCCATCATCAGTTTGCATAGGTTGAATTGTATACATCCAAAAAATTAGTGCATATGAATGGAAAGAAGAGATGACAAGGCAAAAGACTGAATTAAGATCAATAGAGGGGTAAACTTGGGTTGGGAATGTGGCTCAAGTGGTATCCAGGTTGCTTGCATGCGCKKGGCGCTGGGTTCCATCCTCAGCACCACATAAAAATAAAAATGTTGTATCCACTGAAAACTAAAAAATAAATATTAAAAAATTCTCTCTCTCTCTTAAAAAAAAAACTTTTTGTGAATAATTACTAGTAAAAAGTGGATCTACATCTTAGAAGTTTAATCCTCCTAAAGAGAATCTCTCCCCTCTAAGCTTATGTTCAGCATTATTATAATAGTTAAAAAACTTATATTTAAGAGAAAATATTACTCAATGTATGTATTTAACCATTTGCATCTTTGTACCTACCTTTCAGGTACACCTGTAAGGTGATATACCTTTGCATGCATATATACACTACTCCCATACAGGTTCAGTGTTTGTTACACTTTTCAATGGAAATGTTTCAAATTATGAGTTCAGTTATTTACTTTCATCTTTGTTCTTTTAGGGGATATATTTTGTAGGTAACTTTGGCCTGTATTTTTTTTTTTTTTTGAGTATCACACATTTATGATTAAATATCCATGTGGGTCTCTATTATATTTCTTAAACATTGTCTAATTGTTGGGCTCTCACACACACAAATCCATCCTTCTTGATTTTCAAAGTTGATGTTATTAAGGTGATTCTTAGTGCATGTCACGAAAAACTGAGAGTCTTTATCCAGGAGTACTTTTTTTTTTTTTTTTAAACATTAGACACTCCATGATACTGTTCACTGATTTTTGACTTGCAGTCAGTTTACAACATAAAATATAAGTCCTCCAATGCTTTTGTCAAAGAACTGTCCTAAGGATTGTTTCTTTGAACTTCAGAGAAAGGGATCATTTTAAGTCCTATGTTTTAGTTGCTGTATATCTTTATAATATCAGATATGAAAAGATTAGAAAGTAACATTTTAGGGCACTGCTATGTTTGATATTGAGAACTGCTTTGATATCTGATTAATTTGATTCAATTTTCTTTTCAGTTTATCTTGAGATTGAACACTCACTTTGCATTAGGAGGGAATAGGAATACTTTATGATATTACCCTGTGTTCACCTGTTCTTGTATAATCCTCACAGAAACTCCAACCATCAGCAATATTATAGATGCCTAAAGACAATTGCCTAAATTGCCCCAAGTCATATAGTTATTAAATAACCAATCTGGAATTTTAACCCAGATTTGGATCTCTGTTTCTCTTTCTCCAGGCTTTCTCATTACATTATGCTTTCTTAAACCTATATTTGCAAATAAATAAATAAAAGGGCCTAGGACTAGCAGTAAAAAAGTTTTAAAATCTGGTAAATGCAAGTTTCAGAATATATAACACTGGCAGAAATTTCTCAGAAGTGACCAAAAGAAAGGTGCACTAATGTTTCTCTTTAGATGTTGGCCCTTTTGGCCATCTGTGCTATACTCTTCTATTTTCAGGCATGAAAATGGATGTGTTTCAGAGTTTTTCTTTTCAAGGCAGGTTTGAAACACCTTGGCTAGAAAGCTTAGGTTTTGCAAACCAGAGGGAAGAGCAAACCTGTCATTGGAATGTGTACCCTTCAAATGTAGTTACCTATGAAAGGGACAAGGAAGGTCAAGTTGTAACATCCAAGTTTGTTTCCCGTTGCAAAGTGTCCTTCCCTTTCTATCACTTCCAAGGAGAGTATTTGCCCTGAGATCTGTTGAGCAGATGGATCTGTGGGAATGTGGTGAGGCCATCACATGCTGTTGATTTGTTTTCTCACATCCTTTCCCCTGTTGTGAGGGAAAGAGAGTGTGGAAGGGGGCAGAGTGTTGTCACTTTGAACTATTACAGTTTCACCCTGGGCAGTTAACTCCTTGAGCTGTGAATAGGTGCTTGCAGTTATTACACACATCATCAACAGCAGCATGCATTTTTACTTCTAATAAACCAATAAAAACTGAAAATATATTTGGGTATATTAAGCAGTTGATTGATCAAAGGGTATTCTCTGATGCAAATATATGGCTCCAATGAAAGATGGCAGCAATGTAAGCTGATGAAATTTGGGGGGAAAAGGTATGCATGCTCTTAAATTCTCATGGGATAAGAATTACTTTTACCTGTGAGTTCTCATTTAGCAAAGAGCATTGGTCTGGGAAGCAGGAGACCTAGTTTCTAGAATCATCTGTACCAGTTTTAGCAAGCTGAACTCTTTCCCTGGTTTTTGGCTTGCTTTACTTGTGAATAGGAATTAAATTTAGCACAAC